ATTTATTGATGAATGAATGGAAGCCGAATGAGTACATAAGTTTCATAAAATTGTTTGAAGTATTATTGACGACTGAGGGTAAGATTGATATTAAAATCTCCAAGAATAAAAGTATGCTTATTTTCATTACCTATTATATAGAGATATTGCTCAAGTTCCTTATAAAATAAATCAAGATTAGAGCCTGGCGGTCTATATATGATATTCTTAAATCCTGTGTTTTCAATTTCAATGAATAAAGTCTCTGAATGTAACAGTTTCACATCGGAACGGATCTTAAATTTCAGTTTTTCAGCAATGTAGAAGGCCACGCCTCCGCCTCTTTTTCCTTTGCGATCTGCCCTTATCAACTTATAATTTGGTAAATTAAACAAATCTGGGGAATTTTCATGTAGCCATCTCTCGCTAATACCAATAACAGAGAATTTGAAATTGTTTAACGTGTGTAAGAGATTTTCAAAATATTCGAAGTTTCTATTCAGACTTCTTAAATTTGCATGTAAAAGGGAAATATCATTTGGATTACTATCAAACATGTTATTGAATTCTTGAGGTGTGTAGTATTTGCTATTGTATGAATTTTCTATGTAATTATCAGGAATAAAAGAGAGTGACTCCATCAGAAACGATAAAATGTAAAGTACCAGATATTATGTAAGGGATCAACTGCAATAGTGCAGCGGCTTAGCAAGAAAATTGTGCACTTTTTGAGAAAAGCATGAAACTTCCAGCAAAGTTTGCTTTCACCATAAGATTTATTTTTAGATGTGGAGGGAAGTCAGATTTGACCTCTGATGACCCTGAGAGGTCAAATCCAAAATGGCCGCCAGTCCGCATGGGCTAATGTACAAACGCGGTAACTTTTGAACCAAATAGTCCAAAAAAAACGTTTAAGGTGTCTTTTCCAACTAAATTGGGGATGCCAATTCATGTGGTAATACTTTCGAGATCGCCAGAACTCAGGGTGTTGCATTTAGGTCAAGGTCAAGGTCAAAATTGACTAAAAATAGCAAGTTTTGAATGGTTACAAAAGGTTAAATCCCCATTATATGTCATTTGTTCTCCCCTATGTTCTTAAATTTATTAAGGAATGGTTCCACTGCCGAGTCCTCCACCTTAATCCTTTTCAGTTAGTTTATTTCACAGTTTGATGTGACCTCTGATGACCCTGAGAGGTCAAATCCAAAATGGCAGCCAGTCCGCATGGTCTAATGTACAAACGTGAACTTGAACCAAATAGTCTAGAAAAAAGTTTAAGGTGTTATTTCCAACTAACTTGGGGATGCCAATTCATTACGTAATACTAAGAGATCGCCAAAACTCAGGGATTTGCAATAAGGACAAGTTCAAGGTCATATTAGGTCAAAAAAGTGATGTTTTTTTTTTTTTAAAATAAACGTTGCCTCTATTTTGACACTTAAGGGGCCATTATTTTATAAATTAATAAAAAGACCCGTGTACCACCACTTTGATTATCCAGGGCAAACTTGTATATAGCTGCTTATCGGCTGGTCCTGTCCTTACGTATGAGTTTCTACTTCATAGCACTGCTAACCGTAAGCACACGAAAGTTGATTAACCTTACGCTGCTTACTGGATGAAAATGAATTTTGTAACAATGCACATTCATTGTGAACGCACAAGAGGGACGCCTTGTTTTCTTGCTAACCAAATGTGTCTGCTACAGTTTTAGCACGAAAATTTGCAAAAAAGCTATTCCAAATACGACCTAAAACCTGTTCATTACCACAGCTATAGATATCCACATGTATTTAGCACTGTCCACAACTTATGAATATCCTAATGGTAACGATCAAAATCTAACAGTCTCCAGAACAAGAGCACAATATTCAGTGCATCCTTTCTTGCAGCGACAGTGGATTACTCATGGCACAATTTTGATGCTTCCGGGAGAGTGGTCCAAAGAGGCTGCCACCCAGTTTCGTTTGTCCAGCCTAAGTCAGATGGCTCTGGCATCTCTGGATTCTTGGCCAATATCTGGTTCCAACAGTTGGCCTGGTAGCAAGTGCGCTTGAAGTGCTGCTTGAGTACAAATACCACATTGTCTTTAGCCCGTATCAGTATAAGTATGATCCAATATAAAGCTATTATTCTTTATTTAATTCAGTATAATGCTTTTCCTCAAAAGTAGTTTTGCTATTTTTTTAGGGTTGAGACGCTAAGAAATGGTTTCAAATGTACATTACACGAACCCTAAACCATTTCAAAATGATGGTGGTTCTCTCTCTCTCTCTCTCTCTCTTTATTTTAATCATGCATTATCAACTACATATAAAGCAGCAACAAAAAAATTAGGGTTATCTGAGATAGGTGAAAGTAAGTGTTAAAAAGAAAGTCATGCTAAAACGGCGCTTCAATTCCCCCCGCCCCCTGAAAAAAATAAAATAGATTAGTAGTCCTCCTCTCCAGCATCCCCCTCTCTCCCCCCCCCCCCCGCTTTAATATCACATTTTCACTTGGCAGCCCAAGGGGGCCGGGGGAGGAGGGGGTTAAACCCCCTACCCCCCCCCCCCCCCGTAGATCTGCCCATGTTACCATATCATTCCACGATATTTTGGTCTTCCTCTTCTCCTCAAAAGGGACTTTTAGATTTGCGTGGATGTGGACATGGACGTGGAAAAACTTTTTGTAACCATTCAAAACTTGCTATTTTTTAGTCAATTTTGACCATGACCTTGACCTAAATGCAAAACCCTAAGTTCAAGCGATCTCAAAAGTATTACCAAATGAATTGGCATCCCCAAGTTAGTTGGAAATGACACCTTAAACGTTTTTCTGGACTATTTGGTTCAAAAGTTAAGTGTGTTTGTACATTAGACCATGAGGAATAGCGGCCATTTTGGATTTGACCTCTCAGGGTCATCCGAGGTCAAATCTGACTTCCCTCCACATCTGAAAATAAATCGTATGGTCTAAACCAAATATGCTAGAAGTTTCATGCTTTTCTCAAAAAGTGCACAATTTTTCATTATATTGGGAGCTTATCCGCTGTACTACAAGCGTGATTGTGGTGTAGGTGCGTTTGCAAGTGACTGAACGTGTGTTCGTGTGTGCTGATGTGCAGTCAATATCAATATAAAGTTCATCTATAAAAATAATAAGACCCATCTTGGTCAGCATAAGAAAATCACTGGAAGCAGTAGAGCAGAGCTCAACCACCTAAGAACATGTATATAATAGTTGAAATCATTTACACATAAAAGAATAATAAATAAGCGGTCACATAAGGAGCAAACCCAGGAATATACTTTTTTTAATCATAAAGTGCAACGAAGCCATACGTTAAATAAGCTCAGGGGTGTGAACAATGTAGGAATATTGTTAATATATTGTGATAAAGAAGCATGAGTGGATCAGGATCCACTCAGTGTATCCACTGAGTGTATCGGCCTTCAAAATTTAGATAAAATAAAATGAAAAATATGTATGTTTGTTTTTTGTTTGTTTTTTTTTGTTTGTTTTTTATTTTTTATTTTCCTATCTTCTGTATACTAGTTACTGTCATAACCAAAAATAGTATTCCTCTTGTAAACTTAAAGGTTAGCAAGGAGTGAAAGATATTAAAAATTTGAGATTAAAGTAAGTACATAGCTACTGAGTGGTTACATACATTTCACATTGTATTGATCAGATTCAAATGATCGCCTTATACACCAGGTGTAGTAAAGTAATTCCACGTTCGTGTTGCCTAACATTTCAGAAAAGTAGAGGTACAATAACAATTAATCTTGCGTAGCCACACCCCCTATGATCAGAAACGTGGATGCATATGTGTTAGTATGTACATGCGTGTAAACAAGACTAATATGAAAAATACAGAAGTCTGTTACAAAACTCTATCAATCAGCATCGAAATACACGCCCAGTCGGGCGCTTCAGCAGAGTATCAGGATAAAATTATGATAAACAAGAGTGGAGTAGACACACCCCTCTGATTAGAGAGTACATGATATATGCAGTGACGAAAGTTTGACAAGGGGTGAATGGTGAGGTAACTGTGAGGCCACAACAAACATTATTAAGATACCTGTACGTGCCAAGTCGGGCATTAGGAATTACAATTCAAGTAAAATCGTATAAAATAGTTGAGATTGTGAACAATACAAAAGGGTAGATTGGGTCAGTCTTCTGCATTAAAGGCCTATAGTGCATGAGTTGCAGAGATAATTGAAAGGGGGAATAAACGCAGAATATAGAATGCGATCCGCATTGTAGTATGCACATTCAATAAATCAGTGTAATATATTCTGTACGTTGTGGTATCATGGATCTACTACTCTGAATCAACACTTGTTTGCCCTCTCGAGTATATCAACTGAGTATCATAACAAGAAGGGATTGATCATGCGTGTACAGCCACACCCTCTCCGATCAGGCACTTAATTGGATGCATGCTTGTTTTCATTGTATGGACTGATTGGCCAAATAATAGAGTTTTTACAAAGCTCAGATCAATCAGCTTTGAAATACCCTGCATGTCGAGTATTTAGTAATGTATCAGTATAAGTGTACGTTAATCTCACATGGAATAGCTTGTATTATCTCACTTGTATTATGCTTTGCATGAGAAATAAAATCATTTGAATCATTTGATATTATTAAGTTAATTAATTAACTGTTAAAGTATATTTCAAAGTGAAGCTGAATTGGTATGATCGGATTTAATCTGAATTTCATGTTGGGGACTAAACTTACATTCATAGCAATTTTTTATCCTAAAAGGGCACTAGAAATGTCATAATAAGAATAAAAGAAATAATCATGCAGGTTTGAATGCATTTGCAAGCTTAAACAAGAACTTTTTACCACTTCTGATGCGTATTATTCTTATATATTAGTTTCATACTGTTTTTACATTTTGCTTGTGAGCTTTGGTGATTTTCATTATTTATATTTCCGTATACTATAGTATTACATTTTTATTGTGTTCAGAACCAGGATGGAAAACATATTTTGTATCTACAATGTATATTTGATTCTTGTTATCCTGATTACAAATATTTCAATTCTTATTATTCTGATTAAAAATATTTCAATAGAATAAAAGCTCAACTGTCCCTTTAATACATCGACGATGTCTCTACGCGCTTTTACTAATTATGATTATCCCGGTCATCCAGGGGCTTGCCCGTAAACAATGATTTCACATTCTCATCTCCCTGGGAGGGCATACCAGCCAGGCGCCATTTTACAGACGCTCACAATGCTTAGCAAACTACAATGACTTCCGCATCCTACCAGGTATCCATTAACACCTGGGTCTCAAGTGGCAAATGTACATTAACGTTTTGACAAAGAACGTTAGTGCCGGGTTTATGATTTGAACCCCGCACCTTCTAATCTACAGTCTGTTGATCTATCAACTAGACCACATCTCCAAGAGCAAGACTAAGAGTAAGAGATGCTGTGATCATCAATTCCTTAATTATTTGTCTTGTTTGTTTTGTAATGTGAGATGATCCCGTCTCCGTTGGGCAGCCAAGAAGACAATTGTGAGGATCACAGTTAAACAGTTGGTAAAACCAAGAGCAATAAACACTATTGTATAGGATCCAGTCTTGTCCTTGATCATACCTACAAATAAGACGAAAAGTGAAAGAAAGAAAGAAGGGACTATAAAAACAACGGTTACACAGTTTTATGCTCCGTGACTTTTTAACAGACAAAAAGTAATATGTCTGCCCATGTCTGCAAGGTTTATATGGGTTTGTTTTTTTAAGGTAGATACAACAAACCATAACATCTTTACACTTGACATCTTCCATCCAATCACAATGAATAAGCAGTAGCTTGAAGTACCGAAGTGCTAACAACATGCTCGCTCGTCGTCCAGGATACTGGTTCTAAACAACAGACCCAGGGTGTGAGGTTCACCGCGAAATCATCCAAGCAACGGACCGGAGCATGGCTAATTCAGTGTTTGGGGCGTGTGTGATGACCACTCCATTGTTTAGCACAAAATTGGATGGAACCAGCAACTTTGACAACTTGGCAAGTAAGATGTAACACTTCGGTACTCTATAACCATCATCGCACGGGTTGAATAATTATTCTAGGGCCGGATTCTTAGGCTTGGAAATATCAGCTTTCCGGTCTATAAAATTTGCGCGCTAACAAAACAATTGACACTTTCAAACTCTCGATGATTACAATCAGACCACGTCGAAACTCGAATATTGGATTACGGATGCTCAAATATTGGTAAGTCATTCTCGGAGGCTGCAGCCCTTAGTCACCCCTACCTCGTACGCTTATGGGTATAAATGATCCTGCATTGCGTTGTTTTTAAAAAAATATTTATTATTCAACAGTATTTATTACAGTGTTTATATCATTTTCGTTGTGAGCATGAAGATCTAAGATGTCTGTGTAATTTCATACAATTTCAACAAAAACATCAATCTTTTATTGTATTTCCTATCTAAGTCAACTTATTAAAATCTAATTTTACTTGTGGCTTACCTGACAACAAACTTCCGACAATCCCTCCGATGCCGTACACCACACCAAAGATCCCTACGGCAACAGTGAAGTTTTCATTAGACACAGAGCTCTTGAGGAATGCAGCAGAAGATATTCCTGCGCTGAAGACGCACAACCCTTGGATAAACGCCGTGACGCACATGACTGGGAACGATGTTAGCAGTGGGTCAATTAAGAAGGTAGTTGATGATATCACACTCAGGATCAGGGAAACGACAATAAAGTCAACTCTGAAGAAGAAGAGAATCGCAATGCATAGAATTTGCCCTAGGACGCCACCTCCACCTCCAATTGATGACAGCAAGACGGCTTTAGAACTTGGAATTCCGTGCCATATTGCTCTTGGAACAAGAAATAAAATCCATGATTGCACAACGAATGATGTGAGGAAAAGAATAGGAAGTGAAAGTAACAGGAGAGGTTCTTCCACAATAATGCAGTGCCAAAACCACTGCGAAAATCGTTGCCTCCAAGGTAAAACATCATGTTCTGCAGATACCCTCTCAGTGTGATCTTCTCGATATTGGCTAATTTCTTTTGACGATGAAGCTAGGTCGTCCGAGCTAACTATTTCACCATCATCTACAGTCTTAACAACACTCTTTTCATCACCATTAGGATCGATTAAAGGTTCTTGACAACCTTCTCTTTTCTGAATCCGTGTGGCTTTGCGAGAACCCTTTACTGTCCTAAGAGCTATACTGGCAGGAATTGCATGCAAGCTGATCCCTCCAAGGATGAGCATGGCACCACTGAACCCATACGCATCTAGCGCCCTCTCAATGATGACTGGACCAACTAATGCACCTACATCGATTCCTAGACTACCTAAAGAGTTCATAAGTATGAATGTATCCTGGAAGTAGTCGTTGAGTAAGACTTTGGCTGGTAGGTACCCCATCGACAGTCCAAATCCTTGAGACAAGTATGTGGAAAGAAAGTAAATTATGAAAATATTATTAATCTTAGTAGAGTCTAAGTTTTTCAAACTTGGATACACTTCCATTTATTGCGGTGGCGGAACATTTCCGGGGTAGGGGAGGAGGGGAGGGGAGGGGTTGCAATAATTCATACAGGCTTCATCAAGCAACATTATTTTAAAAAATGGCATGTCAAAATGTTTTGTGACAGATTGTGGTAACAGAGTGAAAGCGTTTGTATCACATGCAAACATTACGTCCGGCAAAATAATGTGAGCTTTACAAAATGATTGTATGCAAGATTTGCATTGTGTGCTGATGAGCATTGAGATAAGCAGTTGCTAAAAATTGGAGCCAACTTCCTTTTCAGAGAAGACAGGGGTGCAAAACCTCAACATTTCCCAGAATAATTGAATATCCCTCGGGCCATGAAAAAGGTGTCCCTTCACTGATTTAATTCACGGATGAAAAATGCCTGTCCTAACAGGGCAGTTACATATTCTGATCATTTATTTTCTGCCTTATGTGCCCATTGGACCTTACCCGTACCAATTATCATAATGTAAGGTCCCACTTTAAAAACAAAATCACATAATTTATTTATTGAATATAACAAGAGAAAGCATGTAAATGGAACATTCAGTCCTAGGCTACTGTCTGAATACACAAGACAGTACAAAGCGGGAAAAGAATACATATAATTATAATACCTTATGCCTTATGTAAGTGGGAAACAAAAAATGTCACGATTAAAGTGGGTCCCTAATTTATGGAATTTCCCAAATAAACATGCAACATTTAGTCAATGTCAGCGTAGTGTTGTATTAATAGAATAGGCCTATTGATTGATTTAAATACATTTCTCGCTATCTATGTATTCACCTGTTAGGGCAAGGCAGAATCCGAGAGGGATAACAGATGTAAGATAACCGGAAATGATGATTCCTAACGATGATATGATAGCTCCAGTGACCGCCATCACTCGAGGTGATATGTAGCCGCTCTTCAGAATATAAGCAACGGGTAAAGCTGCGGAATGCGAAATGGAAACGGTTAAATTACAACAGGGTGGTCCTTGTAGACCGAAAACCCCTGCGACTGATATTTCACGAAACAGACAGCCAGAAGTAGCACATGATGTCATGTATACCGCTCCTGCCATCCTCACTCTTAAATTCAAATAGAAGACCCAATAGGCCGAAAGTCTCAGATAGTAAATTATAGTTTTTGCTAGTTATTAAGGGAAAAGTCACCCAAAACAATAAGTGTAGGCATGCTGACATGTAAGATGTATTCCTGTCTTTTGATGGACAACATTCCTTAAGAAAGTGTACGAGAGATATATACAAAAAATATATATATTTGGCATGATGTAACGCCTTTTAACATGTCATGGGTACAGCCATTTTCTTGATAATGTGATGTACCACACTAACTTATATATGTGCCATGCACCAAGCTCTTTTTGAAATACTTTTTAATTCAGCAAACGTTTAATTTTCAATGAGGGGAAATCGATGCTGAGAAGGTAAAAATTAAATTTGGTGACAAATACATAAATGGGAACCATCCTAAGTCATTCGTTTAAAAATACTTAAGTATAGCAGTTGACAAATCTTTATTAGGGAATTTTAGATTTACACGACGAGAGCGTGGACTGCCGCGTGCGACATTGTGATAAGGCACTAGGCCGTGCCCGGCAGTGCCTTAAAAGGACGTCACATAACCTCAAAAGGATGTCACACGTGGCGGTCCACGTTCTCGTCGTGCAAATCTAAAAGTCCCCATATAAATGCGAAACCTTCTTCCCAGAAGAGCACCAACTTATGTATGCAGTTTGCGTTCTGACAATTTATTGTAATACAACGAATAATAGCAATTTAATGAAATACTTCATCACCATACACACCTGGGAAGAAGCATCCATAAATTTGAATACATTTACTTCATAAACGACTTTGCATCTACGTCACATTATCTAGAAAATGGCGATGATGCCTGATCGTCCTGAGAAAATATACATTATGATCAGAATATCTTGCTTCATACCTCTTTTATATACTTTGGTGGAGATCTTGTAGACTAATGGATAATTAATACAATAATACAATAATACAATAAATCTCTGATTAACTACAAATATCCTTGGGGTTAAGCTTCCTTTAAACAAAATATCGACCTTCCTTATTTTATTGTTAGGAAGTAAATTAAAGGCAGCATTTTCTTTACAGGACTGCTGAGTATACATCTGAGGACTGTAGTTTCAAGATAAAAATTACAAACGATGCCAATGAAGGTCTGAATGTTATTTTATTCGGAGGTTTTGTGACGTTTTGCCAATTGTGGAAAAATAACGCCAGAGAATGATAAAGAGAGACATTGGGGGAGGGGTGATATACATACTTTTAAACAAAGGTAGTATGCATGCAACCTGAGTAAAAAGTTTAAAAAAACAAAGACATAACACTTAATGGGCTTACGTAATTCGCACGTTCACAAAATTTATTCGACAAATCTGACCTTTTTAGATCATCTTTCAAAGATTTTGGAGTTCAATAAATTCAGACTTATAAAAGAAGTGTCGCATGGAAGTCCACGATGAGCTCCAAAGTATGAGATATTTGGGTTAATACAATATAGTCCTGTAGAAGTTTCTCAGACCTGGAAAAGTTGTTAAGTACAAGGTTTTTTTTGTTGATTTGTGTTCTAGATGGGTATTGAAGTAAATTCAGCTTGGTTGCCAGCTTGGCAACCTTGAGCAACTTTTTTAATAGCCATTATATTAGCATAATCATCTAATTAGCATATGTGCAAGATGTAATAACGTTGCTTATCTCAATTCAGAAAGCCTGAAAACATGGATAATACGACTTTTAAAGAGTTTTCTATGGTGAGGAATTCATTTATGACACCATTTTTTTTTTATTTCAAGTAATGCAATTGTCTTAAATAGATGATAATTAGCATAACGAGCTAATACGCATAAGTACAATATATGGACTTCATTGACATTGCTCATCTATAAAGCCTAAAAATGGTGCAATGCAACATTGTAAATCACTTTTGAAAGACTTATCATTAATTCATGAGAAGATATTCTATGTAGATGTAATATAATTACCCTAATTAGCATAAATCTAATAAGCATATATGTGCAATATGTAATAATGTTGCTAATCTAAATCTAGGAAGCCTGAAAACTTGGATAATACGACTTTTCAAGGGTTTTCTATGGTGAGGAATTCATTTATGACACAAGTTTTTCATTCCAAGTAATGCATGTCTTAAATAGCATAATTAGCATAATGAGCTAATAAGCATGTGTACAATATATGAACTTCATTGACATTGTTTATCTATAAAGCCTAAAAATGGTGCAATGCAACATTGTAAATCACTTTTGAAAGACTAATAATTAATTCATGAGAAGATATTCAATTTAAATGTAATATAATTACCCTAATTAGCATAATAATCTAATAAGCATATTATGTGCAACATGTAATATGTTGCTAATCTTAATCCAGGAAGCCTGAAAACATGGATAATACGACTTTCCAAGGGTTTTTCTCTGGTGAGGAATTCATTTATGACACCAGTTTTTCATTCCAAGTAATGCAATTGTCTTAAATAGGATAATTAGCATGATGAGCTAATAAGCATGTGTACAATATATCCCGGCCCCCCACCCAGTGTTATTTAGGGTACGCATGTGCGTGTTCCAACCGACCCCCCTCCCCCCTTTTCAGCAAAAGTCCGGTGTGTAAAGTCAATACGGCTCGACCTTTTTCTTTTGTATACGAGCCTTTTTCAGCACCCCCCCCCCCCCCCTTTTCAGCAAAAGTCCGGTGTGTAAAGTCAATACGGGTCGACTTTTTTCTTTTGTTACGAAAAGGACATTTTGGCAACACGCATGAGGTCCGTCCGTTCTCGGAGTTGGGGGGGGGGCGGGACAATATATGAACTTCATTGACATTGTTTATCTATAAAGCCTAAAAATGGTGCAATGCACATTGTAAATCACTTTTGAAAGACTAATCATTAATTCATGAGAAGATATTCAATTTAGATGTAATATAATTACCCTAATTAGCATAATAATCTAATAGGCCTAAGCATATTATGTGCAACATGTAATATGTTGCTAATCTTAATCCAGGAAGCCTGAAAACATGGATAATACGACTTTCCAAGGGTTTTCTATGGTGAGAAATTCATTTATGACACCAGTTTTTCATTCCAAGTAATGCAATTGTCTTAAATAGGATAATTAGCATGATGAGCTAATAAGCATATTGTGTACAATTATGGACTTCATCGTCATTGTTTATTTATAAAGCATAAAAATGGTGCAATGCAACATTGTAAATCTTTTTTGAAAGACTAATCATTAATTCATGAGAAGATATTCCATGTAGATGTAGTATAATTACTCTAAGTAGTATAATAATCTAATTAGCATATTATGTGCAATATATAATAATATTGCTAATCTTAATCCAGGAAGCCTGAAAACATGGATAATATGACTTTTCCAGGAATTCTGTCACAAGCTTGAGCAACGTCGGGCTTGTACTCTCAATGGTTCTGGCTTTGGTAAACATAGACAGATCATATTTTGCACTGTTGTATTCAACATCCCTGGCCTATGTACATACCTGTCTCACCACATCATCAATTCCACCACTATCATCTGCTTTAACCATCTTCAGTATATTTCGGACAGTCTCTTTAATCCAAGGACTGAAGCCCAACCATCAATGCGTAAGATGACCCCGTCATTTCCTCGACATTTCATAAGGTTTGACAACATTGCCCTGCGACCATGATAACCACCACATTGGACATACAATTTGTGAAACTCAATAGAGTCCCAAATAATTGATATTCTACAAATATACTAATTAGGCTTATTAGTACAATAATTACATATTAATCCGATTGCATTACTTAAAAATAACAAGTGGTGTCCCAAATGAATCCCTTATCATGGAAAATCCCGGAAAAGTCATGTTAGCTCTATTTTCAGTCTTCCTGGATTAAGATTAGCAACATTATTACATATTGCACATACAGTGTATATGCTAATTAGGCTAATTATACTACATCTACATGGAATATCTTCTCATGAATTAATGTGTAGTCTTTCAAAAGTTGATTTACAATGTTGCATTGCACCATTTTTAGGCTTTATAGATAAACAATGACAATGAAATCCATATATCGTACATAATAAATTAGCTCATTATGATATTTGAGACAATTGCATTACTTACAAATAAATACTGGTGTCATAAATGAATTACTCTTCATAGAAAATCCTTGAAAAGTCACCTTATCCACGTTTTCAGGCTTCCTGGATTAAGATTAGCAACATTATTACATATTGCACATATATGCTAATTCGATTATTATGCTAATTAGGGTAATTATACTACATCTACATGGAATATCTTCTCATGAATTAATGATTAGTCTTTCAAAAGTGATTTACAATGTTGCATTGCACCATTTTTAGGCTTTATAGATAAACAATGACAATGAAGTCCATATATTGTACACATGCTTATTAGCTCATTATGCTAATTATGCTATTTAAGACAATTGCATTACTTGGAATCAAAAACTGGTGTCATAGATGAATTCCTCTTCATAGAAAACACTTAAAAAGTCGTATTATCCATGTTTTCAGGCTTCCTGGATTGAGATTAGCAACATTATTACATGTTGCACATTATGCTAATTAGATGATTATGCTAATATGGCCATTAAAAAAGTTGCTCAAGGTTGCCAAGCTGGCAACCAAGCTGAATTTACTTCAATACCCATCTAGAACACACATCAACAAAAAAACCTTGTACTTATCAACTTTTCCAGGTCATGTACATGGTATATGGTACCGTCTACTGGACTAATGTAGTATGATGTAGTATGATATTGGTGAAATGAAAATCATAAAAGATGTATACTCACATCCTAAGAGCATCATGGACGTAGGCATGCTGCACGCAAGGCCTAAAGAAGAAGCATCTGTCGAGAACAAATATATCATGGTAGGAATCAAGACTCCAAACGACTTTGACGTCGCCATTTCAACGAACTGGATGACGAATTTAGTCAGGACGATGACGTACTTCCATCCATCTTGTGAATCTCGCAAGCCTTCCATTTTGAAACAGGGTTTCCCTTAGCTGAAATGCTTGGTATGCTCCTCTAGATCAGGAATGGTATAGACCTGTGATGATGTTACGAGTGGTGTTGATGGCGGAAGTTTAGAACGAATCATGTTTAACTGGGGAGAGTATGTACTATATATGTGAAATCGCATGAACAGTCGCATCGACAACATACTACCTCAGTACAGGGAGATGGTCCAAGTGCTCAGTCTACCGTGTATTCCTATAACAAAGGGAGATCATGGCACCTTTTCGAACCTGAACGGGATTTTACGATGGAATATTATAAGCATAAACATGTACAGAGTGAGGAAAAAAAAGTTTACACCTAGAAAATTGCTAATTATTTACAAAATCATCTATGAACAGTAAATGATTATACATCTTATGAAAGAGTGTTTATCCCAAATCATTTGGTATCATTTTTGTGTGGTATGCGTTCACGCTTGGATGAACTGGAGGCATTGTTTGCGAGAGTACAAAAATCGATTTGCGCCAAAGTTGCTTGTGTGATGTTTGATTTGGGACAATAGGCCATTTTCCTAATGTAACCAAATTTAATGCATAAGTCTTTGTGAAGTGCCTCAATACAAAATATTTCATTCACCTGATAGGAATAATAGTATTTCAATATTCAGAATGTAACTGCATATATTAAGTGTTGCTAGGTAGGTCAAGCCACAATGCTTGTCCAGCCTGACAACAACTAATGTATACAGTTTGGATTCTGTCTATTGAAATACTAATATTCTTATCAGGTGAATGAAATAATTTGTATTGAGGCATTTCACAAAGACGTATGCATTAAATTTGGTTACATTACGAAAATGTCCTATTGGGATTTGGGTATTAATTCGGTCTTTGCAGATCCAAATAACATCCCTAACAAAATTAATCATGCCACACATATCAAATATCGATTATCAAATATCAACGAACATTTCTGTGCGTGTGTGTATGTGTGTGTGACTTTGCTTCTGCAAAAGGCATATGCAATGCATTTAATTTAATACATTCGATTCATTCTCTCACTCCGCAAATCCCAACATAATACATGCTGTATAGGCATCACTTTGGCGCAAGCCGATTTTTGCACTCTCGCAAACAATGCCTCCTGTTCATTCAAGCGGGAACACATACCACACAAAAATGATACCAAATGATTTGGGATACAACACTCTTTCATAAAATGTATAATAATTTACTGTTCATAGATGATTTTTTTTAAATTAGCAATTTTCTAGGTGAAAACTTTTCTTTGACTCACACGGCATATGGCTGCCTTCATAAATCTTTATATGAAGGAGTTTCGTCTAGCTAACAATAGATGTCCAACTGTTGTCAGTATGAACAAGGCACCCTGATGAAAATGAACACTGGAAACAATTTGCTTATGTCCAACAAACCTCTCTTTTATTCTGCAACTACAACAATGGTGTAAACTTCACCTAAATATCTTCGGTAAAACCTTCTGATAGCAATCTGTAATGATAATAAACAAACAAACAAAAAACCAACAAATGTTTCAGCCTGTAAGATAAACTATTTCCAAATTCCAACATCAATTAAAACAATGTGTAAAAATACAGTCAATGGGCAATCAAAACATTATAAAACTGTGACGTTGCAATCAAACTACATTGTACCACATATATCTGTGAATCTTGATGTACACCCCCTCTTTCTTCTCATTCGATAATATATCCCAAGTTAGTCATCCAACATTCAAATGTGCATCTTCTTTTTTATCTTCACATATCAAATTGAAATCCAACTACATTGTACCACATATGCACAATTCAGTTACTTGTAACTGCAATACATGGACATGAATCAATAAATACCATTTATCTATCTATATCTATCTATATCTGTGAATCTTGATGTACACCCCCTCTTTCTTTTTTCTTCTTTTCTCTCTTTCTCTCTCTCATTCCCCTTTTACCAATATTTGAAGAGATTTTAAAGAAAACATATTAATTAAATATAAAGACAGAGTGTGGATATTGAATCTTTGCATAAGGAAACATAATTGTAGTTTGGTTATATATAAAAGCTTAGGTTTACACAATTTCTTAAATAGTGGGATGAGGGTGTATTGTAGGAGGCGAAAACGGGGTAGTATAGCATGAGATTCTAGAGACGTACAATGAGAGTGATTTTGAGAAGAAAAGAAAAATAGAAAAAAGGGTAAAGAAAATAATATAAAAATGATAAGTAGGAGAAGTTGAAGAAGGGAAGGAAGAATAAGAAGAGGAAGAAAGTTATCAAGAAATAATCTATAGTTTCAATACATGTAATTGGTAGCGTACGGGACACAAGATGGCCAAATATACCTTAGATTTGGTCATTTTTGCCTCAGTATGTATTCAATCCATTGCTAAATAGTTATTAATATCTTTTGATAACTCGTGAAATGCATGAATAAAGCTATAGCTTTACAAAAGCTGTGGCGGAAAATTATTTTCACGACATCTTGCGGCAAATGTACATGAGGCCGCGTAATTATATGCCCAACAATCGGCACTTTTGATTCCATTTATTGGGGTTGTGGCCCCAACAAGAAGGAGGCTTTGGCAGTTTCGTTCTATACTGCATGGATACACCAATGTCCTGGAATCCAGACACCCCATTATCGTGAAAACTCTTAATTAGCCTTTAAATTAAGCTGTTTTGCACATTGTACCCCCCCCCCCCCCCCCCCGGTAGCCAAGATCATTGCTGATGATCACAGTTACACAGCTGGTCACCAATAGCAACAAAATATACGTAATGTTTTGTTCACAAATGTGTTTTTTTTTTCGTACTCCGTTTAATAATTATTTCTATTTTGTCAATACTGCTATTATTTCGGTAAAATATTTTATACTAATACGTGTAAAACGCAAAACAATGTTTCACTATTTCGCTCTTTTCTACGATCTCTTGAACATTTAGAAAATATGGAACGTACACTTCGTTTAAATAAAAATCGTCTTGCTCTTCAAAGTAAGAAAGGGGAATATATGTTACGTAATTTTGTTGATGAGTTAACTAGTACATTTTATTTTACTATTTATCGATTGTCTATAAGAACATGTTTGTATCATGTAATAAATTATAAATAATGTTAAAAAGGTGAGCAACAAATACTGCAACCCCCAAGTGATCGATTATTTGTCTCGTTTGTCTACCAATATGTCAATAAAATGATGATAACTGTTAGTGATTGTTGAATTTATAACTAATATTCCGCTTTTTTATAGCGATTAAAGGGGTAGTTGAGTTTTGGTATAGAGGGCGCTACACACAACAAAAGTTGTGACATTATGAACCAGAACGTCAATGACGTAGCGCTCATCCGCATCTCGCAACAACAAATATCGTAAATTTTATGTTGTACACTTTTGAACTGTTCAAAAAATAAAAATGTGATGCCCTGGAAGGGACATAATTTCATTTAGCTGTACAAGATTAAATAGAAACTAAAGGAAATGGAATGAAAAATTGGTTGAAAAATATATAGTTTTATGACAAGCAGGACTCGAACTTAGTAAGAGATAAACATACTCACCTTTTATTATAATATGGAAAGGACAAAGGTATAAATAGTCAGTAAATTGTCAACAGAAAAATATGGCAAAATATATTTTCTATCATTTATAAAAATTGTTATATTTTTGCCAGATTTGGCCACCAGCATAAACAATAACTGAGCATTGTTTTACTATGGACCCTACTACCATAGTTCTACCTATCCAAAGTGTGTGTGCAAGGGGGGGGGGGGGTATGCAGTGTGATTGCCATGCCTAGGCCTATCCTGGCCTTGCGCTATAGTAGCGCCCAGGAGTAGCGCTTTGCTGAAAACAAAATGCGTTCTGAACATTTAATTTTCAACATCTCTTTTCTCCTCTTTTTAATCCACAAATCAAGTGTTTTCTGTGAGAGATCAAATTTGCAAATAATCATCCTAATATTTTGCACAAAACTTTAAAAATGAAATGAAGGAGAAGGAGCATTTTTTGTTATTTTTGGAATAAATTTGAATAAATTACCATAAATAATCAATGGAGCTAAATCTCAAAATTCTGTGTAAAAGTTTAGTGTTCCAAATTTAGCTCTACCAGATTTTTAGACAAACAAAATCAAAATCGGTCAAGAAATGAGGGAGAAGAAGCAGGTTTTGTAATTTCGAATAAATTTGAATAAATTAGCATAGATAATGAATTTCACGATGCTGTGTAGAAGTTTAAAATCCCCCTCCTAGCCCGATCATAATTATGATACAATCAAAATCAAAATCGGTTGAAAAATAACGAAGAAGAAGCATTTTGAAAACTGTGGAAGGACGGACGGACGTCGGACGACGGACACCACGCCATGGCATAAGCTCATCGGGCCCTTCGGGCCGGATGAGTTAAAAACTGCAACACCCGCAACACAATGCAGGCACATTTTCCACTCCCTGCGGAGCATTCTACCCAGTCGCCATTTAACAAGCGCAACTTGCTAATCCAACCATATTAAAGGGATAGTTGAGTTTTGTTTTCAGACCGCAAATATTGCTCTTTTTCTTATCTATGACATTTCTAGTGCCCTTTTAGAATATAAAATTGCTATGAAGGTAATTTTAGACCCCAAAATGTGTAAAATTTAGCTAATACGATCACACCAATTCAGCTCCACTTTTAAAAAAATACCGTGACCGTTAATTAATTATATGATTAAATATAACAAGACATGGGCCGGCTGGTTGTGCGTATTAAATATAACCAACATCGGCATTGGCTGAAATCCGACGTAAAAGGCGCTATTTCATTTTTTTCAACTACTTTTTTAAATTAACTTATATTTGTGGTGGTACACAAGTATTAGAAATCGTTATATTTATGAATATTTCAGCCGTCTCTGAACCGATTTTGATCAAACAAAGATGATTTTGTCATTTAAATTGTATGTTCTTTTTGACACTCAGCTTTTCATTATCTCACAAACAATTATTTGTGTATCGACCTCTGCAACAGAACTCAACTATCCCTTTAACTTTCGAATCCTACCGGGTACTCATTAAACACCCGGCCTGGAAGGAGAGTGGCAAATGTAGATCAATGTCTTGCCAAATGAGATAAGTGCCGCGATAGGACTTGAACCGCGGACCTAGTGATCCACAGTCCGTTGACATATTAACTCCTGACCACGTTATTAAGTAATTAATAGTCACCATATTATTTTGAAAGTAGAGCTTAATTGGTATGATTGTATTGACTAAATTCCACAAATTTTGGGGTCTAAAATTACCTTTATAGCAATTTTAGGTCCTATACAAGGGCACTAGAAATGTTATAAATAAGAATAAGAGCAATAACCATGCACTTTGAAGGCATTTAAGGTCTTAAACAATTAGAACTCAACTGTCCAACGATCTCTATGCGCTCTATTGATCATGATTACCCCGGTAATTCGATTAAGGCTTGCCCGTACACAAAGTATTCACATTCTCCACTCCCTATGAAGCATTCCAGCCAGGCGCCATTTTACAGACGCTCACACTGCTTAGCAAACTACATTGACTTCCGCATTCTACGCAGGTATCCATTTAACACCTCGGTCTCGAGTGGCAAATACAGATTAACGTCTTGCCAAAGAACGTTAGTGTCGGGTTTGAGATTTGAACCCCCGTCCCCCCCCCCCCCCCACTCAGTGTTATTGAGGGTACGCGTATGCTTGTTCCCTCTTTTGAAAGCACTCCCTATCTAAAGACTACCAACATTTCCGAACCCCCATTTCGCGGGCTTTTCCTGCCTTGGAGACCCCCCCTAAATCCGGAAAATGCTCAATGTACCCCCCTAAACTCGGAATAATTTCTCATGAGTCCAAAGAGTTGAGAGATAAAAGTTAATACACCCCCCTTTTTTACAATATTCTCGGGCCGGACTTTGTCGCACAGTACCCCTTTACCGGATATTTTGGTAACACGCATGGTGTCCCTCCGTTCTCGGAGTGGGGGGGGGGGGTTGAACCCCGCAACTTCTGATCTACAGTCTGTTGACCTATCGACTAGACCACAACATTTCTAAGAGCAAGATGCGGTGATCATCAAATCCTTGATCATTTTTCTCGTTTGTCTTGTAATGTGAGATGATCCCGTCCCCGTCGGGCAGCCAAGAAGACAATTGTGAGGATCACAGTTAGACAGTTGGTGAAACCAAGAGCAAGAGACACTATTGTGTAGGATCCAGTCTTGTCCTTGATCATACCTACAAAATAAGACGAAAAGTAAAAGAAAGAAGGGACTATAAAAACAACGGTTACACATTTTTATGCTCCATGACTCTTTAACAGACAAAAAGTAATATGACTGCAAGGTTAATATGGTGTTTGTTTTTATTAACTGTAGAAACAACATACCATAACATCTTTATACTTGAGATCTTCCATCCAATTACTATAAGCAGTGGCTTAATGTACTGAAGTGCTAACGACATGTCCGCTCGACGTCCAGGTTATTGGCTCTAAACAACAGACCCTGCGCATGAGGTTCACCGCGAAATCATTCAAAAAAACGGGCCAGAGCATGGTAAATTCAGTGTTTGGGGCTTGTGTGATGACCACTCCATTGTTTAGCACAAAATTGTTTGGAACCAGCAACTTTGACAACTTGGCCAGTAAGATGTAACACCTCGGTACTCTATAACCATCACGGCACGAGTAGAATTATTCTAGGGCCAGATTCTTATGCTTGGAAATATCAACTTTCCAGTCTATACAATTTCAACAAAAACACCAAACCTTTATTGAATTTCCTATCTAAGTTAACTCATCAAAATCTATTTTTACTTCTAGCTTACCTGATAACAAACTTCCGACATTCCCTCCGATGCCGGTCACCAAACCAAAGATCCCTGCGGCAACCGTGAAGTTTTTATTAGACACAGAGCCCTTGAGGAAGGCAGCAGAAGATATTCCTGAGCTGAAGACGCACAACCCTTGGACAAACGCCGTGACGCACATGACTGGGAACGATGTTAGCAGTGGGTCAATTAAGAAGGTAGTTGATGATATCACACTCAGGATCAGGGAAACGACAATAAAATCAACTCTTAAGAAGAAGAGAATCGCAATGCATAGAATTCTCCCTAGGACGCCACCTCCACCTCCAATTGATGACAACAAAACGGCTTTAGAAGTTGGAATTCCGTGCCATATTGCTCTTGGAACAAGAAATAAAATCCATGATTGCGCAACGAAGAACGTGAGGAAAAGAATAGGAAGTGAAAGTAACAGGAGAGGTTCTTCCACAATAATGCAGTGCCGGAACCACCGCCACAATCGCAGCCTCCAAGGTAAAACGTCATTATCTGCAGATTCTCTCTCAAGGTGATCTTCTCGATATTGGCTAATTTCTTTTGACGATGAAGCCAGGTCGTCCGAGCTAACTATTTCACCATCATCTACAGCCATAAGAACACTCTTATTATCACCATTCGGATCGATTAAAGGTTCTTGACAACCTTCTCTTTTCTGAATACTTGTGGCTTTGGGAGAACCCTTTACTGTCCTAAGAGCTAAACTGGCAGGAATTGCATGCAAGCTGATCCCTCCAAGGATGAGCATGGCACCACTGAACCCATACGCATCTAGCGCCCCCTCGATGATGACTGGAACAACTATTGCACCTGCAGGTTTTCCTAGATTGCCTAAAGAGTTCATAAGTATGAATGTATCCTGGAAGTAGTCATTGAGTAAGACTTTGATTGGTAGGTACCCCATCGACAGTCCAAATCCTTAAGACAAGTGTGTGGAAAGAAAGTAAATTATGAAAATATTATTAATCTTAGTAGAGGCTTTATCGAACAACATTGTTTTAAAAATGACATGTCAAAATGTTTTGTGACAGATTGTGGTAACACAGTGTAAGCGTTAGAATCACATGCTAACATTACGTTCGGCAAAATAATTTGAGCTTTACAAGATGATTGCATGCAAGATTTCTTGTGTTATGATGTGCATTTAAATAAGCATTTGCATGTAATAGGGACAAACATCCTTTTTCGAGAAGACAGGGTTGCAAAACCTCAACATTTCCCAATATAATTAAATATCCCTCGAGCCATGAAAAAAGTTTCCCTTCAGTGATTGAAAATAGTGCCTGTCCTAACAGGGCAGTTACCTATTCTGATGATTTTTTTTTTCTGCCCTATAATGTGCCCATTGGACCTCACTTTTTCAAATTATCATAACGTAAGGTGCCACTTTAAACAATAAATCACATAATTCCTTTATTGAATATAACAAGAAAAAGTCTGTAAAAAGGGACATTCTATCCTAGGGTACTGTCTGAATACACAAGACAGTACAAAGCGGAGATTGTTAGCGAGAGAAAACGAAAACAGGATAAACATACAATGGACAAAAATACAATAGTGGGGGCTTTTAGGGATATTTAGGTGCAGATTCTTCTAAAAAGCACCACATTTGGCCCAGAGGTTATAGTATTAATGACTGCTTTGAGAGAAATAGTTGTTTTTATACGCTCAAGTGAAGGTTAGAATTGTGCTATTGCCCGAGGCGTGCCGAGGGCAATAGCATTTTTTATTTGGCCAATATGGCCAGCATGACAGCCCCAAGGAGACCTGTAATTAATACAAGCATATTATAATCAGATTCTCTGACCCCGAAAACCCTCTTACTATATAATCTTTTTATCATACTAGCCCTTTTCCTTTTGGAACTACACTTGACCTTTTACTCAAAGGTCACGGCAGCCATTTTGGATTTGACCAATATGACCAGCATGACAGCCCCAAGTAGACCTCAAATCAATTAAAGAACATCATGATCACTCTCTCTGACCCCGAAAACCCCATAAATATATAAACTGTTATCATACTAGCCCGTTTCCTTTCGCAACTATACTTGACCTGTAACTCAGATGGCGGCTATTTTGGATTTGACCAATATTACCAGTATGACCCGAAGAGATCTCAAATCGATGAAAGAACATCGTGATCAGTTTCTCTGACCCCGAAAACTTCATAAATATATGAACTATTATCATACAAGCGCTTTTCCTTTTGGAACTAAGCTTGACCTTTAACTCAGATGGCGGCCATTTTGAATTTGCCCAATATGGCATACCCAGAGGGCGCCCTTCTGGGCGTCCGGCAGAAATCGTAAGAGTATGCTATAAGCTACATCTGGGCCAAATTTGGTGCTTTTAGAAGACTCTGCACCAAACAACCCCTATTTAGCCCTAACAGCCCCCACTACAACAAAAATAGGAGAAAAATTATCAATTTGCAAAAAAAAATAAAAAATAAAAATAAAATAAAATTGATTTAGCTGTAAGTATCTTAGAAATGTGCTCAAGAATCTGTTTACCCTCTTTCATTTTACTTCATTTGTGCAGGGTTCGTGCGGTTTTGTACGTATCCCTTATAAAAAAAACACTGATTATGAATTCTAAATGTAAATTGAATCTATCAGATTCCAAAATATATTATACATGTTCAGTTTATCGTTTATGTTTAGTTTATTGAAATTTTTATATTGAATTTACCTTCGATTCAAATTTCCCCATGATTGTATAAGATATTTGATTTTTATGTAATAGCTTTTTTATCCGGACCCCATGGAAGCGAACAGGCGTATTCTGATAATACGCCTGGAATGGGTTATCCACCGTTTATGCACAATTCAATCAATGACAGGCCTATATTGATTGATTTAAACTAAATATTTGTTAAATCTCTGTATTTACCTGTTAGGGCAAGGCAGAATCCGAGAGGGATTACAGATGTCAGATAACCGGAAATGATGATTCCTAACGATGATATGATAGCTCCAGTGACCGCCATCACTCGAGGTGATATGTAGCCGCTCTTTAGGATATAAGCAACGGGTAAAGCTGCAGAATGCGAAATGGAAACGGTTAAATTGCAATGGGGTGATCCTTGGAGACCGACAACCCCGATCATGCCGATACTGATATTTCACAAACCAGACAGCCAGAAGCAGCACATAATTTCATGTATACTGCTCCTGCCATCCTCGCTCTTAAAATAAAACAGAAGACCCAATAGACCGAAAGTCTCAGATAGTAACTTAGAGTATTGGCTAGTTATTTAGGGAAAAGTCACCCAAAACAATAAGCGTAGGCATGCTGACATGCAGCGCTCAAAATACACGGGGGCGATGGGCGATTCGCCCCCGTGAGCTCCATAATCGCCCCCGTCAGGTTGCTCACGGGGGCGATTGAAAAATTAAAAGTTGCCCCCGTGGAATTATAAAATAAAGATGATCTTTTCTGATATAACTTTAACACAATATTAAGTATCAATTTTCAAACCTTAAACCAATGAAATGGAACTTAGATGGCGCAAGGACTGAAACATGGAGAAGTTTTTTGTTGTGAAAAGTGTGAATCCTCTGAAATCTGGTTATTCTAAAAGGCCAACAAATAATGTAACTCGACCAGTAAATCAATATTGAGAAGAAGATCACCAAAGATGTTGCAGGGTGTAAAGTTGTGAAATGTTTTATTACACGACTTAACACAACCCGTGTTTAAGGAGTGAACCATTCAATGTTGTGTAAAGTCGTTACACAACGAATTTGCAGTGCACACACATGTAAATCTGAGATTGTTCATTAATATTATGTTATTAAATACAGTTCGCAGAATCATCTATAAATAACTATGTTAAGCATTTACAGTCTATAAAAAATAGTTCCATAAATTAATATATCTCTGTGTTTGGATCAAGCAAAACAAATGCGTTTCCGGAAGCGAGAAAAAAAAATATGGAAAGAGGGGAAGGTCGAAATCTGTTTACGTGCTATACTTTTAGTGCACCGCGAGGACAACTATATTATGTCAAAGTCATGTTAATCCAGATAAGGTTATTCGAGGAATAAACTTTCAGATTCATATTTAAATCCCAATAAATAATATGTAGTCAAAATTAAATATAGTAAGGTACAATCGACATGTCTACGGGTGCTTCCACTAAACGACATGACTTGAAAAAATAATAGAAAAGCACGCACGTGCAACGAGGACAAAATAAGAATAAGATAACAGCCCAGTATATACATCATCCATCTTTCGAAACTAACTACGAGGGTGGCGCTAATTTTCTCTTTCGATTCATAATTAAATAGAAAACAGGATGAGCTCAGAGTTTTTATGTCGACCATACCATTAAAACCATTTTTTCTTCTTCCGCGAAATCAGGGGGTCTGGTCTAGGTCTCTACTTTTGTGAAGTGTAGTTGTGTTTTGTGGCCAAGTTTCTATTTCGACATCACCCCCGCGTGAGAACAGTGAAGATATATATTTTCGAGCTCAAGTACTTCCTTATTTCAGCTTTTAATCAACTACAAAGGCGATATGGGCGCGACAAAAAAAAAAAAAAATAGGCTAAAGTTCAGTCGATTGCAACGGTCTTTCCCTCTGGCATTCACAAGTGTTCATAAAATGATATAATACTTGTATATGTTTAAGATAACTAGTCCTAACGAACAAAGGAAACTTCAATTTGACTATACTACATTGCGACGATCATATCCACTATACAGATTGAGTAATACGTATGTATACGGGCTTGGACCAGAAACTTCGTACAAAGGGAAGAGATCTGACCATTAGCTTCATGTTATAACTTGTAAAGTTGTAAGAGAAATAATGCCGACTATTAATGATAATGATGAAATAGCAAAATTATTTAGGAGTTTCATGGGTACCACCAATTCAATGGAAAAAGAGCCCCCGTCTGTACTAAAAGAGCCCCCGTGAGAAGGCTCACGGGGGCGCTTTTTATTTTGAAAGAGCCCCCGTGGACAAAAAAATAATTTGAGCCCTGCTGACATGTAAGATATATTCCTGTCTTTTATGTACAACACTCCTTAAGAAAGTGTACAAGAGATATATAAATGAAGATATTCTTGGCATGATGTAACGCCTATTAACATGTCATGCGTGCAGCCATTTTCTTGATAATATGATGTACCAGACAAACTTGTATTATGTACCGTGCACCAAGCTCTAGTTCAAATACTTTTTAATTCAGCAATCTAACGTTTATTTTTCAATGAGGGTAAATCGATGCTGAGAAGGTAAAAATGAGATCTGGTGACAAAAACATAAGAGGGGCACCATCCTAAGTCATTCTTTTATAAATACTAAAGTAAAGCGGTTGAAAATGCAATTTGCGTTCTGACAATGTAATACTAGAATAATAGCAATTGAATGAAATACTTCATCACCATACACACCTGGGAAGAAGCATCCATAAATTTGAATACATTTACTTGATAAATGACTTCATAGTACGTCACATTATCTAGAAAATGGCGATGCAAGATGTCCTGAGAAAATGTACATTATGATGAAAAAATATCTTCCTTTATACCTCGTTCATATACTTTGGTGGGGGAATCTTGTAGATTAATGGACAATTAAGGCAACAATACAATAAATCTCTCATTAACTAAAAATATTCTTGTGGTTAGGATTCCTTTAATCAAAATATCGACCTTCCTTATTCTATGTATGGGAAGTAAATTAAAGAAAATTATGGGACTGCTGAGAATACTTCCGATGGCTGTAGTTTCAAAATACAAATTACAAACAGTGCCAATGAAGGTCTGAATGTTATTTTATTCGAAGGTTTTGTGACATTTTGCCAATTGTGGAAAAATAACACCAGAGAATGATACGAGGGGGTGATATACATACTTCTAAATAAAGGTATTATGCATGCACCCTGAGTAGAAATAAAAAAAACAAAGACATAACATTTTAATGGGCTTACGTGATTTGCACGTTCACAAAATTTATTCGACAAATCTGACCTATTTAGATCATCTTTCAATGATTGTGAAGTTCAATAAATTTTGACTCATATTTGGGTTAATGCAATGTAGTATGATATTGGTGAAATGCAAATCATACAAGATGTATACTCACATCCTAAGAACATCATGGACGTAGGCATGCTGCACGCAAGGCCTAAAGATGAAGCATCCGTCGAGAAAAAATATATCATGGTAGGAATCAAGACTCCAAACGACTTCGCCGTCGCCATTTCAACGAATTGGACGACGAATTTAGTCAGGACGATGACGTACTTCCATCCATCTTGTGAATCTCGCAAGCCTCCCATTTTGAAACAGGATTTCCCTTAGCTGAAATGCTTGGTATGCTCCTCTAGATCAGGAATGGTATAGACCTGCGATGATGTTACGAGTGGTACGTGTGGATGGCGGAAGTTTAGAACGAATCGTGTTTAACAGGGGAGAGTATGTACTATGTGAAATCGCATGAACAGTCGCATTGAAAACATACTACCTCAGTACAGGGAGCTCGGTCAAACTGCTCAGTCTACCGTATATTCCTATAACAAAGGGAGATCATGGCACCTTTTCGAACCTGAACAGGATTTTACAATGGAATATTATAAGCATAAACATGTACAGTGTGAGTCAAAAAAAAGTTTACACCTAGAAAATTGCTAATTATTTTTTAAATCATCTATGAACAGTAAATGATTATACATCTTATGAAAAAGTTTTTTATCCAAATCATTTGGTGTCATTTTTGTGTGGTATGTGTTCACGCTTGGATGAAAAGGAGGCATCGTTTGCGAGAGTGTAAAAATCGATTTGCGCCTGTGTGATGTTTGATTTGGGACAATAGGCCATTTTCGTAATTTAACCAAATTTAATGCATAAGTCTTTGTGAAGTGCCTCAATACAAATTATTTCATTCACCTGATAGAAATAATAGTATTTCAATAGTCAGAATGCAACTGCATATATTAAGTGTTGCTAGGTAGGTCAAACCATAATGCTTGTCCAACCTGACAACAACTAATGTATACAGTTTGGATTCTGTCTATTGAAATACTATTATTCTTATCAGGTGAATGAAATAATTTGTATTGGGGCACTTCACAAAGACGTTTGCATTAAATTTGATTACATTACAAAAATGGCCTATTGGGATTTGGGTTTTAATTCGGTCTGTGCAGATCCAAATAACATCCCTAACAAAAGTAATCATGCCACACATATCAAATATCGATTGTCAAATATTAACGAACATGTGTGTGCGTGTGTGTATGTGGTTGTGACTTTGCTTCTGCAAAAGGCATATGCAATGCATTTAATTTGATACATTCAATTCATTCTCTCACTCCGCTAATCCAAATATAATACATGCTGTATAGGCATCACTTTGGCGCAAGCCGATTTTTGCACTCTCGCAAACAATGCCACCTGTTCATCCAAGCGTGAACACATACCACACAAAAAATGATACCAAATGATTTGGGATAAAACACTCTTTCATAAGATGTATAATCATTTACTGTTCATAGATGATTTAAAAAATAATTAGCTATTTTCTTGGTGTAAACTTTTTTTTTGACTCACACTGTACATGTATATGCTCATAATAATATTATTCCATTGTAAAATCCCTTTCAGGTTTGACAAGATGCCACGATCTCCCTTTGTCATCCAAGCGTGAACACAAAACCACACAAAAATGATACCAAATGATTTGGGATAAAACACTCTTTCATAAGATGTATAATCATTTACTGTTCATAGATGATTTTTAAAAAAATTAGCAATTTTCAAGGTGAAAACTTTTCTTTGACTCACACGGTATATGGCTGCCTTCATAAATCTTTATATGAAGGAGTTTCGTCTAGCAAACAATAAATGTCCGATGAAAATGAGCACTGGAAACAATTTGCTTGTGTCCAACAAACCTCTCTTTTATTCTGCAACTCCAACAATGGTGTAAACTTCACCTTAATATCTTCGGTAAAACCTTCAGAAAACAATCTGTAATGATAATAAACAAACAAACATATATACCAAACAAATGTTTCAGCCTGTAAGATAGATTATTTATGCTATTCTATTCAAATCATTTACTTCTAAATTCCAACATCAATTAAAACAATGTGTAAAAATACAGTCAATGGGCAATCAAAACAATATAAAACTGTGACATTGCAATCAAACTACAAGTCATTGTACCACATATATCTGTGAATCTTGATGTACACCCCCTCTTTCTTCTGATTCGACAATGCATCCCAAGTTAGCCATCCAACATTCAAATGTGCATCTTCTTTTTTATCTTCACATATCAAACTGAAATCCAACTACATTGTACCACATATGCACAATTCAGTTACTTTTAACTGCGATACATGGAAATGAATCAATAAATACCATTTATCTATATATCTATCTATATCTGTGAATCTTGATGTACACCCCTCTTTCTTTTTTCTTCTTTTCTCTCTCTCTCTCTCTCTCATTCCCCTTTTACCAATATTTGAAGAGATTTTAATGAAAACATATTAATTAAATATAAAAACAGAGTGTGGGTATTGAATCTTTGCATAAGGAAACATAATTGTAGTTTGATTATATATAAAAGCTTAGGTGTACACAATTTCTTAAATAGTGGGATGAGGGTGTATTGTAGGAGGCGAAAACGGGGTAGTATAGTATGAGATTCTAGAGACGTATAATGAGTGTGAATTTGAGAAGAAAAGAAAAATAGAAAAAAGAGTAAAGAAAATAATATAATAATGATAAGTAGGAGAAGTTGAAGAAGGGAAGGAAGAATAAGAGGAAGAAAGTTATCAAGAAATAAACTATAGTTTCAATATTCGTCACGTTTATTATTTCAAGATACATGTAATTGGTAGCGTATGGGACACAAGATGGCCAAATATACCTTAGATTTGGTCATTTTTGCCTCAGTATGTATTCAATCCATTGCTAAATAGTTATTAATATCTTTTGATAACTCGTGAAATGCATGAATAAAGCTATAGCTTTACAAAAGCTGTGGCGGAAAATTATTTTCACGACATCTTGCGGCAAATGTACATGAGGCCGCGTAATTATATGCCCAACAATCGGCACTTTTGATTCCATTTATTGGGGTTGTGGCCCCAACAAGAAGGAGGCTTTGGCGGTTTCGTTCTATACTGCATGGATACACCAATGTCCTGGAATCCAGACACCCCATTATCGTGAAAACTCTTAATTAGCCTTTAAATTAAGCTGTTTTGCACATTGTACCCCCCCCCCCCCCCCCGGTAGCCAAGATCATCGCTGATGATCACAGTTACACAGCTGGTCACCAAGAGTAACAAAATATACGTAATGTTTTGTTCACAATGTGTTTTTGTTTTCGTACTCCGTTTAATAATTATTTCTATTTTGTCAATACTACTATTATTTCGGTAAAATATTTTATACTAATACGTGTAAAACGCAAAACAATGTTTCACTATTTCGCTCTTTTCTACGATCTCTTGAACATTTAGAAAATATGGAACGTACACTTTGTTTAACTAAAAATCGTCTTGCTCTTCAAAGTAAGAAAGGGGAATATATGTTACGTAATTTTGTTGATGAGTTAACTAGTAAATTTGATTTTACTATTTATCGATTGTCTATAAGAACATGTTTGTATCATGTAATAAATTATAAATAATGTTAAAAAGGTGAGCAACAAATACTGCAACCCCCAAGTGATCGATTATTTGTCTCGTTTGTCTACCAATATGTCAATAAAATGATGATAACTGTTAGTGATTGTTGAATTTATAACTAATATTCCGCTTTTTTACAGCGATTAAAGGGGTAGTTGAGTTTTGGTATAGAGGGCGCTGCACACAACAAAAGTTGTGACATTATGAACCAGAACGTCAATGACGTAGCGCTCATCCGCATCTCGCAACAACAAATATCGTAAATTTTATGTTGTACACTTTTGAACTGTTCAAAAAATAAAAATGTGATGCCCTGGAAGGGACATAATTTCATTTAGCTGTACAAGATTAAATAGAAACTAAAGGAAATGGAATGAAAAATTGGTTGAAAAATATATATTTTATGATAAGCAGGACTCGAACTTAGTAAGAGATAAATGTAAACATACTCACCTTTTATTATAATATGGAAAGGACAGAGGTATAAATAGTCAGTAAATTGTCAACAGAAAAATATGGCAAAATATATTTTCTATCATTTATAAAAATTGTTATATTTTTGCCAGATTTGGCCACCAGCATAAACAATAACTGAGCATTGTTTTACTATGGACCCTACTACCATAGTTCTACCTATCCAAAGTGTGTGTGCAAGGGGGGGGGGGGGTATGCAGTGTGATTGCCATGCCTAGGCCTATCCTGGCCTTGCGCTATAGTAGCGCCCAGGAGTAGCGCTTTGCTGAAAACAAAATGCGTTCTGAACATTTAATTTTCAACATCTCTTTTCTCCTCTTTTTAATCCACAAATCAAGTGTTTTCTGTGAGAGATCAAATTTGCAAATAATCATCCTAATATTTTGCACAAAACTTTAAAAATGAAATGAAGGAGAAGGAGCATTTTTTGTTATTTTTGGAATAAATTTGAATAAATTACCATAAATAATCAATGGAGCTAAATCTCAAAATTCTGTGTAAAAGTTTAGTGTTCCAAATTTAGCTCTACCAGATTTTTAGACAAACAAAATCAAAATCGGTCAAGAAATGAGGGAGAAGAAGCAGGTTTTGTAATTTCGAATAAATTTGAATAAATTAGCATAGATAATGAATTTCACGATGCTGTGTAGAAGTTTAAAATCCCCCTCCTAGCCCGATCATAATTATGATACAATCAAAATCAAAATCGGTTGAAAAATAACGAAGAAGAAGCATTTTGAAAACTGTGGAAGGACGGACGGACGTCGGACGACGGACACCACGCCATGGCATAAGCTCATCGGGCCCTTCGGGCCGGATGAGTTAAAAACTGCAACACCCGCAACACAATGCAGGCACATTTTCCACTCCCTGCGGAGCATTCTACCCAGTCGCCATTTAACAAGCGCAACTTGCTAATCCAACCATATTAAAGGGATAGTTGAGTTTTGTTTTCAGACCGCAAATATTGCTCTTTTTCTTATCTATGACATTTCTAGTGCCCTTTTAGAATATAAAATTGCTA